CCTTTCTGAGCTGGACAAACAGTTCCAAGCCTCACTTGGTCATGTGGGCTTTGGTTTCTGCCTGTTGTCTTGAGGCAGCAGCTGAACCTAAAATAAAGACACCACATCACAGCATTCAGAAATATTGGGAAGTCGTTGTTATATAACTGTCATGTTCAAAATATGGACGGGAACTGTTGCTCGTGGCTGCAGCCGTGCCGTGGAAAGGGCTTTGGAAATATTTCGTGTCTCACATTGGCTAGAACTGGAGGTCTCTGCCCCTCTGAGCAAGTTTCCTTATTCTGTTAAATAGCCTTCCTTGCTGCCCCCTGCTTTCCCCCTCCTGCACACCCTGTTCCTTTCATCCTTCTGTTTCTTCTTTTGCTGGTGGTCTTACAAGGGCTTCTAACTGCTCTCCAATGTGCCTGCCCAGAAGACTTTCTTTTTTTCAGACTTTCTTTCTTAATATTTGCTTTCATATTTTAATTATCTCTCTCTTCTCTTCTCTCTCTTTTTCTGTGTCTGTGTATGTGAGCGCATGTGTGTGTCTGTGTGTGTGTGAGCACACACACATGTGCGTACAGTTACTCATGGAGGTGAGAAGCATCATATCCTCTGAAGCTGGAGTTCTGAGCTACCCAATATGTTTTCTGGGATTCGAACTCAGGTCCTCTGCAAGAGGAGTACGTAGTCTTAACCACTGAGCCATTTATCCAGCTTCCTCACTCATGGTAGTCTTTTGTCTCCTCCCTCAAATCCTGGCAAAGGCGGTGCTCTGTGTTCTAGCTTGGGGTTCTCCATATACCCATATTAGAGTGTTTGATGTGTACCGTGGAACTGATGACCCCAAGTATGTCCATTCCTCTCTCAACACACCAAATGTGCATGCAAATATAAGAGAATCAAGTAGTGGGAAGCACAGAGTTGAAGGGGAGAGAAGGCTTGAAGAGAGTGGTGGGCAAATACCCAGGCAGCTGCCACTACAGGCAGCACTGGCAGCAAGGCCAAAGGGAGCAGGAATCCAGGACAGGAGTTAACGCTGCAGCTAAGAGGATGGTTTCTTTAAGGGTTTGAAGACCAGTTGTAGAGGGCAGATGGGGTTAACTTTTTTGTGCTAGCAACACTCCCATCAATAATTGTCAGCAAAGAACAGTTCTAAAAGAAAACCAGCTTATTGAAGCTGGAAAATTGTGGGAAAAGATGCGAATGGATGGGAGTAACTAGAAACTGGTAAAGCAGAGTAGCCAGACCTGGGTGTGAGCCTCCTTTGTTGTTGCTGTTACTTCTCTCACTTAAACAAAACCAAACCAAACCGAGATAGACATCCTCCCCAGCATTGGCTATTTTATAGGACACAACTCAGTTGTTTTGAATTTATTCTCAAGGCTGTAAGACCACCAGCACTATCTGATACCAGATCGTCTCATTGCCCAAAAGAAAACGCAGTAATTATGAATAGCAATACAATGTGTTTGTCAAAACCCTGTCTTTCAGCACAAAGAGCAAACTGTAGCGTGAACTAGGCTAGTACTAACACACCGCACAGTGAATATTCCCATGGTGAACTAGGCTAGTACTAACACACCGCGCAGTGAATATTCCCATGGTACAGGACGGGAGCCTTCTCTGCTGTGATGCTAAAGATTACAGTCAGCTCCTAGCTGCTCTGACAAGGAAGCCCATTAGTTAATAAACAAACGATAAACTCTCTTAGCAGGCCGGTAGTCCCCTCCACTACCCTGTCCCTCATCCCCTGCAAACACTTATCTACTTCCCCTCTCTCACATGGCCCGTTTTAGGAGCATGGTTGTAGTTAGTTTTGGTAGTTACTCTTCAGAGAGTGTAGAAAGTTTATACACTAGAAATCACAGCTCTGTGTTTCCTGTCTGCCTCTTCTGTAAACATCTATGAACCATAAAAACGAAGATGGTACAGGTATAAAAACCACTTTCTGCTGTGCAAAGCCAAGGCACAGCCTGTCACTCCACAGGCAGAGGAGCCCGGACTTGGACAATGGTGGAGGGCAGATCCCTGGACTGCATTTGGAGAATAGCTAAGATTCAGGCTAGAGCCTGGGACAGGGACTGTGAGTAGATACCCTGGAGCCTTACACAGGGTTCCCAATCTGCAGTAGCTGAGATGACAGAGGAAGCTACAGGGAAGAGCTCTGGGGGAGGGGCCAGTGGCCTGTCAGCAGCATTGGTGACATCACCACAAGAAGGGAAACTTGAGCTGCTCACTAAATCACCAATTCTGGGCTGGGATTTATTTATTAATTTTTTTAATTAAAAAAGCAAAACAAAACCTTTTTATACAATAGGTACTGATCGCGTTCTTGCCATCTCCCAACTCCTCCCAGATCCTCTCCACCACCCTACCCATCCAAGTTCAAGTTCTCTGTCTCAAACAAACAAACAAACAAACAAACCCTTAAAATGAAAATCAAACAGACAAAAAACCAATAGGAAAACATAAGCCAAACTAAATCAAAACAAAACATTCCTCTCTCTCTCTCTCTCTCTCTCTCTCTCTCTCTCTCTCTCTTTCTCTCTCTCTCTCTCTCTCTCTCTCTCACACACACACACACACACACACACACACATACACATGCACACACGCACAAATGCACACACACACACACAACCGTGGAGTTCCTTTTGTGTTAGCCAACTACTTCTGAGCATTAGGCCTGCCCTGGAGTGTGGTTGACATACCTAGTGACATTCTATTAGGGAAAATTGATTTTTCCTTTTCCAGGAGTATCAGTTGCAAACGACAGCTTGGCTAGGGGTGAGACTTAGTGCTCACTTTCCCTTCTCAGTGCCTGGATCCTTTAACCTGTGCAGCGCCTATGCAAACTCCCACAGTCTCTGAAATTCTTACATCATCAATTCTGTTGTATCTGGAAGACACAATTGCGAAGGCTATTGGTATTTCTCCACAACTTGATGGTGAGGCCCCCTTGCTGATCATGTCTTGTTAGTGTTTTTATAGCTGCGATGAGACACCATGAAGAAAAATCAAGTTGGGGAGGAAAGGGTTTATTTGGCTGATACTTCCATATCACTATTAGTCATCATAGGGAGTCAGGACAGGAACTCAAACAGGGCAGGAACCTGGAGGCAGGAGCTGATGTGGAGGCCATGGAGGGGTGCTGGCTTATTCCTCACGGCTTTCCCAGTCTGCTTTCTTATAGAACTCAGGACTACCAGCATCGAAGTGGCACCACCCGTGGTGGGCTGGGTTCTTCCACATCAATCACTGATTAAGAAAATGCCATACAGGCTTGCCTACAGCTGGATCTTCTAGAGGCATTTTCTCAATCGAGTCTCCCTCCTCTCTGATTACTCTAGACTGTCCAATTGGCATAGAATTGGCTATTACCATACACTTGTTTATGTTGTTGAGCATGAAGAAGTCAAGCTTGTGTTCTGCTAGAGGTTTCATCCCTACTGACCAGCATTCATGGCGTTGGAAGGTACTATGCCTGCTGCTGGAGGAAAATGGTAATCATCTATAACACCATGCTTCTACTAATCCTGCGTCATACAACAATGACCTTTCTGCAAGATATACTTGCGCAATAGTGACACAAATGTCATGAGAGTGACCAGCCACTTTTTGATTGGATGTAAGGACAACTCTATGAGATGAAACCCATACCTGATACTGCTAAAGTAGCCAATAACCTGAGATTATATAGGTTATAGGCCTAGGGGAAAATCTATGCTGTTATTCTGATAAAGGAACGTAGCAATAAAATGACTCCTAGTGACATACTGATCTATCCCCAAGGTCAATGACCTGGGGTTTTGAGAAGTTATGAAGGATGAAGGGGAGAACCCTGAAGAAACCCTTGTGTTGTTTTTTTATAGGGACACACTTCTTCATTAGCCCTGGGAAACAGCTGATTTGTTTTCTGCTCCTTTTTCAATAGTATCACCTAAAGGAAATTATAGAGTATGAAACTTTAAAAAATATTTCTTTTTATTTTAAGCGTGTGTACATGTGTGCACATGTGCAGATGCCCCAGAGGCCAGAAGAGGGCAGCGTTCTCACTGGAACGTGAGTTCCAGGTCGTTTAGAGCTGCTTGGCATGGGTGCTGGGAAGAGAGTCAGATCCCCTGCAGGAACAGCAAGGAATCTTAACCACTGTGTTGGCTCTCTAGCCCTCTGGATTGTCATCTTTTGGGGCTGACTTTTTAACATTGCTTGGTACTTTTGAGAGACATTCAAGTTGCTGGCTTCATTAAGAATTGTTCTTTTTTACTGACTTTGACTACTCACTTACTAGAGGAGGTTAGCACTGTTTCCAGTCTGGGGTGATGATAAAGTTCAGATGGGATGAGTAATTTTGCTCCTGATAAATCATTCATTTCTTTCTTCTTCTACCCAACAAGAAATTAGATTACACTCAATCAAAAAGAAATTCTGATTATGACTTACCTCCAGGACAGCAATTATATTTCCTTCCCTTGGCAAATAGAATTTGTCTGTCGCACAAGGGCTTAAGCCACTGATGATGCTTGCTAAGGCTGCAGAAGAGGCAATAGCAGCAATTGGATGCAATTATAGACATAGCACGTCCCAGAATGGAGCCTGGAGAGAGACTAGGCCAGGTAATAGAATCAGCTGGTTGGGTGGTGTAGACTCCTAGTCCCTGCTGCTTTAGCACACTCTGCATAAAGAAAACTTCTGGATCTGTTTTTGTGTTAGCTTTAACTTTTTATTTTCATTGGCCAATTGGTACAATGTTCTTTTTGTTCTTATATAAATGTATGCAGTGCAGTAGGGCTGTGGGCTGAGTGCTACTCAGGGGTGCTAAGACGCTCTCCGTATTACTGCCAAGGTGCAAAGACGTTTCTGGCTGGACCAGGCATGATATTACATTTTGAAATATGATTTACATCCTGCTGGTAGATTTTGTAAGCTCATCCCTCTCGTAGGCAAACACTGTGCTAGTACATTTCTGCTCTTGAAAAATCAAACCATACACCTTTTTTGTTTCTTTTTCTTTTCAGTATTACTTCACTGTTCTTTTCGGGCATGAGGGTCAGAAGCCACTGGAGCTGCGCTGTGAGGAGGAGCAGGCCGGGAAAGAGTGGATGGAAGCCATTCACCAAGCCAGGTGGGGGGCATGGCTCGTTTTGGGTGGGGCTCATCACGGCTGCCAATACTTTTGGAAGATTTTGTCATTGTAAGATGGTATCACCTTGGTCCCTTCCTGTTTGTGTGTGAGGTGATTGTCTGCCCTTTTCATGGCTGTGTGCCAGTTAAAGATAAACATAGCAGACATGAACACTAACAGTTACTGGTAGTGGACACGGATTTCTTCCTACACACTATGTACTTACTAAGTGCTTCTCAATTAGGGAATTTATTAAATGTATGACTACCCTTCCCAGCAGTCTGCTACAGGGGGTTTACACTTACTTCCTCTTCTGCATGTAAGGAAATCGAGGCCTGGAAGATTAGTGCACTTGCTTAACTTCGTACAACTCGGCGTGGCAGAGCTAGATACCCACGCAGTGGAGTCCACCTTTGCAACATCTATACCCCACCCCCGCCCCCATGCAGTCCCATTATTGAATGGTAGTAACAAACTCAACCTGGGTCAATCAGAAAAATGTGGTTTATTTTTCACTAAGTACTACCAGGGCTGTAAAACTCTCCTCCTTGTCTGTTAGACAGGAATGAGAAATCTGAAGGGAGGGGCGAGGCAGACAGGCTTTTTGCTTTCTCCCTTCAAGTCCAGTTCCTTTGCTCTTGTGTGTGCTTGCTACTTCTTGTCCATCTTTTCCTCAGGTAGGGATGCTATCTTGTCACAGTTTCTATTGATGTGATAACCATCATAACTTAAACAACGTGGGGAGGGAAGGGTTTATTTATTTCATCTTCTAGCTCAAGTCCATCATCTGGGGAAGTCATGGCAGGAACTTAAGGCAGGAACGTGGAGGCAGGAGCTGAGGCAGAGGCCATGGAGGAGTGTTGCTTAATGCCTTGCTCTCCATGGCTTGCCTGGCCTGCTTTCTTATCATGCCCAGGACCAGCACAGACGTAGCACTGCCCAGAGTGACTTGGGCCCTCATACATCATACATCAACCAAGAAACTGCACTGCACACTTGCTTACAGGTCAAGCCTATGGGGGCGTTTTCTCAACGGAGCTCTCCTCTTCTCCAATGACCCTACCTGTGGCAAGTTGACATAAAACTAGCCAGCACAGGTGCCATCATTTTGCCTGCATGTTCAGTTCCTTTTCTCACCTTTCTGGTCATGGAGCATTTTCTTTATGTGCATCTGACAGTACCCCTCTCCTGTGTGTTGTCCGTCTCTCTGCCACTTCCCCTGAGACTCTGGGACAGCTCATCCCTCATCAGTCCCTACTCCAAACGGCTGCTGCACCTGCATGGTACTGCATGCACATACTCAGCAACTTAAGGAATCTTCTGTGTGGTTTCTACTTCCTGTGTGTACCTTAAGACTCAAGAGAAGGACCGGGGCACAGTCATTCGTAAATGAAATGCATTTGCTAATTGTGCAACAAGTGATCAGGAGTGACTTCCAGGTTGGTTAATCGAAAAAAGAAAGCACCAGTCCCCAGTGATTTCTCTCTTCTCTTTGAATCCTTGACACAGTCATTCTGAAAACCTCCTTGTCTTTGGAAGGATCACTCTATGATGCTAAGCACTTTGCACACCTACCTTTTATGTTATTTGCAGGAGCTCAGTCAGGTATCACCAGCCCCATTTGATAAAGGAGAAAACAGAAATTCGTGCAGATTTGGCAAGATCCAACACCAGGTTGTTAATCTGCAGGACCACACGGGTCTGCCAGACCTCTCAATGCTAAGCCAGGGCTCCGCATTGTCCTCCTTTTCCTTCCCTTCTTTCTCGGCTCAGCTTTTTTTCTATTTCTTTTTCTCTTCAGAGATGGAAGCAGAATAATGTGAGGTCAGGGTTGAAAGCAAAAGGTATCAATTGCGGACTATCTTAATTCTTTTTATTTCCTTTCTAAGTAGCAGTTGGCAACAAATGCTAGTTCCCAGGGGGAAGCTCTGTGAAGTGGGAGACAGGCACGCTGCTCAGTGCTCTGGTGCCTGCTGCCTGAGTTCCTGAGTTGGGGCTGATTCAGAATGACTTAAGAAGGTCAGGTCTTCAAAGACAAAAGATGCATCAAGTTGGCAAGGTAGAACCTTAAGGCCATTTGCAGTCACAATCTTTGTAGCTATGTCTGTTCTTTTCTACCTGAGCATTAAAAAGAAGTATGTAATTTTAAACATGTGTATTTGACCATACTTTATATCCCAGAAGAGTAGGAAATATTAATACCATGAATGGCTTTACAGTTGCCAAGAGAATATTTTGGTGAATTGGGTGCAGTGTGAATTACTTTAAAGATGCATGGATTTCAGAGGAGAGATGTTTTGTTTGTTTCACTATGACATGATAAGATTTTGTCATACACGTGGGTGCAGTCAGTAATTGGCTGTGTTTGACATAAGATGCAATCTAAGATGTGTGTGATTCTATCAGGAGACGGACTTGAGAAACCACTTAATGGTTTACCACACAGAATGGTAAATATCCTCTTCTCCTCTTAGATTTGAATATCTGCTTAGTGGTTGGTCTTTTGTTCCCTTGATGCTTTGATTTTGTTTTTTCTCTTGTACTTATTTACTTTGATTTAATGCCTGGGACTAAGTTTTTTTGATAACTCCTTTGAATTGGACTGCTTTATACTTGTGTCCTTCTATTTGCCTTTCTGAATTAATTCTAAAATATTTATTCTATAGAATAAACATTATTCTCAAACAAGGAATAATAACATGAACTCTCTGAAATATGCCTCAACTGACTTTATTCGCCTATAAACAATGTCAGAAAGTTCATGAAGCTGCTTCAGACGAAGATCATTAGCTGCTTTTTATTGACAGCATACATGAAACGCAACTAATGAGTTGGGCTTGGCTGGCTAAACACTTCACTTTTAGGGCACGACCTGGTGACATTAATTTGGCATTGCTAACAACTTTCAATGAAAAACTTTAAAGCAGTCAGTAGCCAAGTCTTTACTGATTCCTCTTTTCAAAAGTCAGAGCTTTGGGTTCCCAGTAACTGTGTGTTAGCACAGACTTGTTCTTTTCCAAGTTAGGAATCCCCCAAGAGACACTAAACAAGACTACTATTTCTCCATCTCCTGCTTTCTAGAATGGCTTTTCCATGAAGCCTAGAAGTGCTGTCTCTACACACCATGGAAGGCACACTGTTCTGTTGGCTCTTGTATCAGAGAAGGCTCCTTACCACGATTTAGAGGATCTTTGGGTTGTTTACTGGGATGTCCAATTGCATATTTCTCTCTCTATGTCTGATCCAGAAAACGATGTCATCAGAATTAACATTTTCAACTTGGAACTTTGACTCAGTCCAGGCATGTTGGTGTTAGAGTTTTGCACACAATTGCTCAATATGGTAATTCTAGAACATTGATGCACTTAAAATTTCATTCCACACATGTTATGGCATGGGTATATGGGAAGATGCTACCAAAACTCAGCCATCTTATTGTTTGTGTAAGTTGAAGCCAGAGCATTTTAATAACAATTAAGTCTATGGTTATTTTATAATTGATTTACCAATTGAGCATGAAACTTAAGTAGGACCAATAACTGATATTGTTTCTTCATTTTCTTAGCCATATATGTCAGACTTGATTGAAGTAGTTGAATAAAAACATTTAGAAATACTGATCTAGTTAATTGTGGATCCTAAAGACTACTTGGCTAATGTGACATCCATTCAGTGTTTTATCTGCTTGGATATTGAGCCTGCAGAACCTGAGGAGTAAGATGTCTTTGGTCTGGAAGAAGACACAATGCACTCTTTCTGAGCTCACTGTGTCCTGGCTTCAGCATAGGATCCACAGGATCTGTGTAACATGAAGGGGGCCTGCTTGTTGGGGGTTTCTGTCCTGCCTGGAACCCCCAGCTGTTTAGCCCCCCAAAAAATCACACAGAGATCTCTATAAGTTATAAAGCTGATTGGCCCATTAGGTCAGGCTACTTATTAGCTCTTGTAGCTTATATTAACTCATTATTCTGATCTATGTTAGCCATGTGGCTCAGTACCTTTTTCAGTGGGGCAGATCACATCCTGCTGCTTTGGTGGTCTAGGCAGGAGTGAGAGGAATCAATTTCCTCCTTCCCAGAATTCTCCTGTTCTCATTGCATCATTTCTACTTCCTGTCTGATTTTCCCGTCTATACTTCCTGCCTGGCCAATCAGTGTTTATTTAAAACATGATTGACAGAATATAGACAATTCTCCCGCACCAGTTCTGGACTACAGCAATCAGGAATAAGGTGGAATAAGGTAGTCCAGAGGTGTGTGAGAATCTATCAGAGGGCTTTGTGGCAATCTGAATGTGGACAATATTAGGCCGAGATGGCATCTAATAGACCTTTTGCCCTTTCCCTTAGATGATATTACCCACTAGAAAAAGAAATGATGTGTTAGTACACGTTGTGGAGCAGATGTTCATTTGTGGCCAGGAAGGGGAACGAAACAGTGAGGTAGACCACAAGGAAGGTGAATCGGGAGGTTACAGAACATTCCTGTAAGCTTCTTCCCTGTGTCGTGTAAGAATGAGAGAATGAATAGGCAGGAACAACTAGAGGAGTAAGGCTTGAGAAGAGATCTGGGTTTAGGTTGAGGTCAGGAGACAGTTGGTGAGACTTGGAGATGTTGGGACTGTCATGTTTTGCTGTTGTACCCATCTGTGACTTAGATGTTTGGTGTTGGAGACCATCCCACTGCCTTTGGCTTGTTTTTCAATTTCTTCAAATGCAGCTCAGCTCAAATCCACACTCCAGTTCTCTTTCTTCCTTTCCGTGCATGTCTCATGCCAGGATGTCAGGTTTGCCTTGAGGAGAGAGTACTGACTTGGGGGAAGGAATTGGCAGACTCGTCTGTTCAGGAAGTTAGCAGAGGGAGCATGGAGCCTTGATCTGACCCTTTCTCTGTCCTTGTCTTTCCTAGTGTGATAAGTAGAAAGTCTTTCAATTAAACCTTAACCTTATTTTCAGAGGAGAAAGAGAGCTTTAATCCACTCTTGAGTTTGTTCTTTGTGTC